GTCACGGAGTCCTATGTCATGCAGGATTCTCAAAAATATATTCAAACGCAAGGCCAATTGAGGACGGTGCGGACGGGCCGACCTGGTTGTGGGTGGGTCAGGGTTGAGAAGGGTCTGGCGGCAGTCTGGCAGATGGGTCAACCAGGCCCAATCCAGGACGGTCCGGACAATGGGTTTGGCGGAGATAGGAAGATCTTCACGCATGAGGATATGTAAAAAATATGGGAGTTGCAGGAGGGTCTGAAGTGGTCTGCTGTAAACCAGGGAATGTGGTGGGTCCAGTTGGGCTTTCAAACTGTAATTGGTCACAGAACTCATTTGATCGGACCAGGTCATGGGGCTACTTGGCAACCACCTGGGTTAGGTCCTCCAAGACCATCCAACACCCACTGCTCCAACTACTGCGCACATTCTCCCATATGTGTGGCCATGTGTCGGTGGAAGTCACCTTCCTTTTGAGCCCATTCCTGGATAGTCACAAAGACTGCCAACATGATGGTGGGCAAGAATTGTGGGGGGAGGAGTCAAGATTATCCAATCCTAGATACTACGTTGCGCACGCACGTTTGCCTCTGTGCGTTTGGCACTTGGGGCCTGGTACTTCTAGTACCTTTTCAAAAACAAGTACTATACAAAATCTCAAGGAGGAGTTTTAATCGGGAGGGCTTGGTCTTGCAGGGGTGTAGTTTGGATCTTCAACATCAATCAGTTCTCCAAATCCTCATCAGGGTTGCACAGCTTCCAGCGAGTGGCAACGTCCACAAGCGCAGCCTCGCCGGGAAAGGCCGCGAGCGAAAGTGAGAGGCAGGATAGGAGACAGCTGTGGGATGTAGCAGGAGATCCGTCGATCCAGTCTCTGGGATATCTCAACCTAGTCTTACGCAAGTAAAAAGTAATCAGGTGGTATAACCCATCGCCTTTTACATAGAGAGGAGGCCTAGTTAGTGTTTAATAGGTCAACAGCGCCAAACCGACCCATCTATTCTTTCCAAAAGGACACCACTGCAACCGTGGGTATATATTTAATAGAATCGCCGGCACTCTGTTGGACACGTCGCTCTGTCGGAAACTGGAGCGCCAGAAGACCAGAACTTCTGCAGAGACAGTGGCATGTGAGCAGAAGCTGGAGCCACGTCTTCTTTCGGCGATGAAGTTCTTGAGCGATGGAACACAAGTCACGTTGCAGCTCAAGGCTGGCGTACTACTTGCAGCTGGTTGTCCTGCCGCGCTCGGACAAAAGAGGTGGCATACAGAAGGACAAGTACAGTGGGAAAATCTGCGACGCGCCGATCCCTGTACTGACACCCAAGCCCTACGGCGGCTATTCTAGCTGTGGCTGGCAACAGGGTCCACTGCAGGACAGCCAAAGCCGGAGATCAAATCCATGGATCAAGCATCTCCCATCGCCAAAGAGAATCGCCGCAGCAGCTATGAATCCTCACGGATGCAGGGTTCTCAAACTCGCGGAGGATATACTACAGCGTGAGACCCAAGTGGACAAGTCTCACATCACACTGTCGGACACAGTGCATGGCTTGAACAAAGATCTTTGATCTCCGGCGCTACAAGATACTGCGCGAATTGGAGAACAGGTAGCAGGCAGGGAAGAGGATGAAGAAGAAGCCTTACAGCACATCCTCTCAGAGCCCTGGGTCAGCTGGCCCAGTGAGCAAGATTCAAATCCTTGCTAGGAGTCAGGACCTGCGCCAACATGGAAGCATTTATCGATCATGACATCAAAGCAAGTGAATGCCTTTTTCTGAGAAGCGTTCGGGATCTCAAGCGAAGGCAGCTTGCACCAGTGTCATAAAGATGACGCCGCTGGCAGTGGAACAAAGGCCAAGATTGACACAGTGGATGGCGCATATCTGCCAGCATCCTGCACGCAACTCCGCTCACAAAGGAGACGCAAATCCAACTGCTGGCCTGAGGCTACAATGCGTGGACGCACAAAGGCAGCCATGCAAGTGCAAACGCCACATCAAACAGTCAGCCAGCCACCCCTGTTTCCACAAGAGCGTGTTCCACAAGAGTGTCCCACAAGAGTCGACTAGAGTTTTCCACAAGAGTGTCTAACAAGGGTGTGTGACAAGAGTGTCCTACAAGAGTGGACCAGAGTTTTCCACAACAGTGTCATAGAAGGGTGTCCGACAAGAGTGTCCTACAGGAGTGGACCAGAGTTTTCCACAAGAGTGTCATAGAAGTGTGTCAGACAAGAGTGCCCTACAGGAGTGGACCAGAGTTTTCTACAAGAGTGTCCCACCAAAAGTTGCCTAATTCATTCAACTGAAGATATCAGCGCGCGTAATTAAAAGATCTACTTAGACCAACACCTGTGTGGACTGCGCTGGCCGATATCAAAACAACCCCAAATCCAGAACCATCCAGAACCCATGAGCTGGCCTGGGCCTCCTTTGGTGTCACTCTCCGGTGACCGAAGACACAAATCCAGTCTCTGCAGAAGAGGAAGTTGGGTTTTCGCATCCAGGCCCTTCTCCGCATCCACAAATCTGAACTCAGTGGGAACGTGGATACCAGCTCCAAGGTCCTTGTGGAACCATACTTGAAAAAACCAGAGTAAAGACCAGATATGACCAGATCAATACGGGTTGACCCTCGTTAATCTCAGCGCCATTGCCAAGCGTTGCCGGGCGAAAGCAAAGAATTCGGCTCCGGTGGCCACAGAAAGGGTGGCTGGTGGGGCGGCAAGCGGCTAAGCCAAGAACCGCAGTACAGCTAGAACAGGGTGCCCTGAACAACTCAGAAGACCTAGGGGTGAAGACCTAAAAGATCAAGGTCAAAACATGTTTCCTGTTTGAAGGGGCACCCTGTTCGGTCAGGACAACCCACTTGGCTGGGTCAAAACCAGGGGTCGCTGCTTGGCGCCGACGTCGATCGATTCGGATGGGTGGGTGGATGAGGGCAGCTTTTTTGGAAATACCCCTTGAAGAGTGAAAGATCCACACTCCACGGGACTGGTGATTGCAAATGCATCTTGACCTGGAAGGTCCAAGGGGTGTTTCGTGCCCAACATCCATTCTCCTCGGACATGGTGCGTTCATGGTTTTGTGGTCTAAGAAATCTGTAGAACTACCTCCAAGTCAATGACCTCGTAAAACTTGTCCATGTAAGATATCTAGGATGGAGCTGTATTCCAGGGAATTTAATGGAGGTGGCTCAAGAGCAAAAGCTGCTGTCAAGATGCCATACCCTTGTTCATCATCTTCTGATACTTCTTCTCTGAGGCTGATCTCTGTACAGCTTCCGCTATGCTCGTCCAAAGGCCAGTCATAGTAGTATCTGGCCCTTCCGTGGCCAACTCCACTTGAAGTCACCATTAGGGCTCTAGGCACTTACCCATATCCCATGTCAAGTTGCTGGCATTCCCATCTTCTTGGCCAGCTCCTCCATGCGGATCTCCCTGCCCTCATCCACCAGCCGTTGCTCATAGAAGTCCTAGCCAGGCTCAGGTGGGTGTTCTCCATGTGAGCACACAAATCCAACTCCAAAGATCTAGTCAGTGGTTGTGGTTCCTCTATGCAGCTCCAACATCATGTCTCAGTTTCCAAATGGCCTCGCCTTCAGCACCTGGGCGAGGAGCTCCCGTGGCTTCGAATCCAGCATGGCTTCGAAACCAGACGTGACCTCCGCCCCAGTGGAGTCCTAGGGATGATCGCGCAGAAACACTGTTGCCTTGCAATGGTGGGAGCCTTTGTGCTCATCTAGCCATCAAGATCGGCTCATGTATGTGGTTCTTGGCTTAGCCACTTGCCATCCACAAAGCCTGGATTGCTCAGAAACATCCAAAATTTCCTACTGCGGTTCTTGGCTTAGCCGCTCGCCATCCAGCAGGTTATAATTCCTAGTGACAAGCCTACTGCGGTTCTTGGCTTAGCCGCTTGCCATCCAACTGCAAATTCTTGGTTCCTAGCTGCGGTTCTTGGCTTGGCCGCTTGCCATCCAGATTTCCAACCAAACAACCACCAGTTTCCCCTCCAATTTTACTCAAAAAAAACTTCTGATCATCATCCCATCGCGGTTCTTGGCTTAGCCGCTTGCCATCAATCACCCTGGCCCAAGCACCCTGTCCCAACTGCATGTCCATCCCAGATTAAACATGCCATGTGCACCTTCATTTTCGACGATAGGCTTCCAGGCTTTCCAATGATGAGCTATTGCTCGCCGCATCCCAACGCACGAGGAGGGAAGTGAGGCATGAATGCATGCATATGTGCGTTCATCCCCTACAGGTGAAGGCCCTAATTTGACTGGATCCAGTCATTCAAAACCAGTACTCCATGAGGTCAAGGACCCATGTCATCTATGTTGAGGCCTCAAATTGGGTCACCTGCAAAACTTTGCTGTAAAATACAAACAATGAGCCTCCAACTGCAGAAGACTCCAGTGGTTCCTAGAGGTGATCCTACTGTGGTTCTTGGCTTAGCCGCTTGCCATCCAGAATACTCGCCAAAAAGGAGCAGGTTTCCTTACATATTTAACTAAATCCACCTCTCAGAAGACAATGAACACAATTCAGGTTTTAATGGGGTAAAGTAAATAGTGTTCAACGTAAAGTAAATAGTGTTCAATGTCTTCATATTGAGATGGACAAGTTTAACGAGGTCCTTGACTTGGAGGGTGTATATATATATTTCTTTATTTATATAATATAGATGTCAGCTTATCAGCTTAATCCCCGTGGTATCAGGCGTGCCTAAAATCCCTGCTTCGAGCGGCAGGGTGTAACTGACTGCTAGAATGATGTGACGTAAATTTGAAAAATCCAGGCACCAAATCAATCTTGCGAAGTGTTTCTTGCTTTTTACAGGGCAAGGGAGCTTTCTTGAAGAACCAGTACGGACTCAGCTTCTTTGCTACGTGTTAGCTACTTGCTCTTACTCCCGGCCTCCCGCTTCCCCCCAAACAAAAAGTGCATATGTATGTAATGTATGATGCACCATACTACGAGTACCCTTGAGAAAGGGACGTGGTCGAGGGACTGACTGAAGAAAGCCGCCACAGGAATGCCCACGTGTGGAGCCACAATGGACCAAAGCTTTGCACCTTCACCCTGACCAGCCTCAGCAAAACGGCTTAGTCAGAAGAGAACATAAAAGTCCCGGGAGTGAAGAGTCCTAAAGGAAGAACACACTAGAAAAGTTTATGAAGCACACGCACAAAATTGCCCAAAACACCAAAAAATAAACACAAATGTGTCACATCTGTCGCGTGCCCTTCATGATTCACATTCTATTGTGGAGCATATAAGGTCAGTCGCCTCTAACTGGCCAAGCTTGGTCTGTCCCTGACAGGTTTTTTGTTGGGAGTCCACACAAGACCACTTTAGTTACCGAACAAAAAAATACAAAACCGCCGGGAGTAAAGCGAGTAAAGCCTTCAATGTGTCTTGCTGGTTGTTCTCACCAATTGCTTTAGTTGAGATTCTGCAACCATAAATCCTTCAGAGATGAGGAAAATAATTCCGATCAGGCCAAAGTGAAAGATGCCTCGGCCACTTCAAAAGCTCAATGGCAAAAGGCGTTCATGCCCTTTTGGTCTCTCTTGTTCTTCTGTGTGTCTTAATGTATTTCCTCCTTTCCATATGTCTTTTCTATTTTGTGCTCAAGGAAGTTCCGAGCCAAGCCGAGAAACGCGTCATGGTGAGCACTCGACGAATGTAGGTGAAGCCACCTTCTGCCCATGTTGACAGAGTTATTGCAGTTATGAAGCTCAGAACCTGTGCCTCGGGAATTGGCATCAAATTCTGTCCATCATGAAAGAACAAGGAAGGATCTGCCTGCGTAAGTGTTTCAACTGTGACAATGCGGGCGGAATACGCTTAATTGAAACTCTGCCCAAAAAAAGGTGACTTTGGGCCTTTGGGCAAACAAGGATGCTACTACAGGCTCCTGGCCTTACTACTAGGAGCAAGGACAAGGACGATCCCACATTACTTTTCCGATGGACAACGACCGTACCCTGACTTGCACTGTCCTTCCGCTCCTATCAGATTTAGCTCATGCATTTCCTAGTAGTAGCGTCCTTTGCTCCTAGTAAGGCCAGGAGCCCCTAGTAGCGTCCTTTGCTCATGCATGATTGCTGATGTTTCCCTGTTTCTCTGAGATTCTCTAAGCCCGAGAAACGAAAAAGGCGATGCTGCAGTAGTTGGCTCGTGGAACCTCACCTGAGAACACGGCGATGAGACCAGTACATTGCAATATCGCAACAAATAAACAAATAGAAAAGCTACCAGCTCAGTAGGCTAAAGAACTAGCATGGTAGATTATTCCCTCGGAATTGACTTTGACCACTGATGTGACGAACTGTTCCATTTGATTTCCAGTTGATTTCAGTGTGGCAACGCGTGCCAAAGTATCCAGCAATGACCTCACTACCTTTGTATGGAGGCCATCGCTATTAGTAACTCAAAAGAAGAACTTTGTTACTAGTAGCTTCTTGTTACTAGTAGTAGGGCCAGGAGCCCCTAGTAGCGTCCTTCTCCTAGTAGCGATGCCCTTGCTCCTAGTAGCCTTTCTACATTGACCTGACTACCTTTGCCGATCTCGTTTTCCGCTTCTCGCCTCACTTCGGGTGTTTTGGTGTGCAGACTTAGTCACCCATCGAGGCCATGGTAGCCTGTCGGAAGTCTTCATCGGCCACGAACTCAGCTGTTTGCGCCAAAGAAAAACACCTGAGCATTGCGACGCACATTCAGGAGCAAGAGGACGCTGCTACTAGGAAATGCATGACCAATTCACATCAAAAGCAGACCAAAAGGTTGCCACTCACTGCCACAAAATGGTTCTTTCACAAATGATCGACCACACACAAAATATGTTGTCTGAGCAGGACACCTCTTGTTTTCACAAGCAAGGATTTAGAAAACTGCAGGAACCTTGGAATCCTTGCAACCGCTGAAAAACATGTTCGAGTTTTGAGCAAGAAATCAGGGTCCAACTTGCAGGTAGAAACGCTGAACATAGCAACTTCAAGGCCAAGTTGGGGTTCGTCCAAGATTGTACGATTTTCAACAACCTCTGCGAACAGGCACACGATCAGTGTCAAGGCCGATGTCTTGTACTTCCGAGCTTGGAAAAACCTGGCCCGCTGGACGGAAGAGCCACTCAGTGGACCATTGAAATCCATGCTCGTAGTAACAGGTGCCTTACTAGTAGTAACAAGTGCCACGCTACTAGGAACAAGTGCATCACTTCTAGTAACAAGTGCCTTACTACTAGTAACAAGTGCCTTACTAGTAGTAACAAGAAAGCTACTAGGAAACACTTTTGGAAGAGAAGTCACATCCTACGTGCTCGTCTGGTGTTCAACTCGCCTCACCAATCGCTGTGAGCCAGTCAATTGCTGAGGAAGATAGTCATAATCCCATTCACCTTGGGGTGCAGCAACCAATCATTGTAATCATTTCATTTGCACAATGCAGCATCTTGCCTATGATTCACAAGCAAAGGTGCAGGCATAACAAAACCAAACGTGTGTTGTCTTAGCAAGAGCAAGGACGCTACTAGGGGCTCCTGGCCTTACTACTAGGAACAAGAGGACGCTACTAGGAGCAAAGGGCATCGCTACCAGTTTTGCAAGCTCTGGCTCTGTAGTTCCAAGGACTGCACCATCCGACTCCTCACTCTCAGCAGAGCTGAGAATGTCCTGCAGTCTCATCCAACGTCTGAGAACTGAATATTGTGCGCTATCCAGTAGGTTGGAAGCCATCTCGAGTAGGTTGAGGCCATCGCTCTCTTAGGTCGGAGGCCATCGCTAGTAGTAACTCAAAAAAATGGCGTTGCTTATGTAATTGAATAATTGATGCGGAATGGAGGTCTCCAATTATGTCCGGGCCTCGTCTGTTTCAACGCTGCAGGCCGTGATAAATTTTGATTCGTCCATCAGGCAAGCCTCAGTGTTTCGAACATGAACGCAAAAACAAAATCAAACTAAACAAAAACGTGGGCACATGCTATTTGCAACTGAACACTCGAAGAATTGCGGCAACAATGCAAGAGACCGACACTGTTTGTCAAAAAGGAAGTATGTATGGACTTGTTGTTGCGGCTGCTTATTCTGTGGGATGCTGAAAAAACAACCAAACAAATGTAGTCGAAAAATGTCAACATTCGTCACAATGAGTGAACTGCATGTTGAGAGCTACGCAGCTTCATCAAGAAAGAGGCATCACATTATTCAGCAAACCGCGTGCCCATTTATGTCAAGAAGCCACACAAACACAAGTCCGAAGTCCACATTTTTCATGTTCAGTCAACCCCGGCAAGCAACACGACCGCACAAATATATAAATACATCAATATATATATATATGTGAATATGTCAAAAAATTGTTGCGGCCTTTTTCTCTTGGGCATTAAAGCCACTGCGGTTGAAGGTTTGTGAACCGTCCTATACATGTTCACTGTTGTCATGACCGGGTGCATTGTACTCTGACACCCTGCCTTGTGGATGCATGCATTTAATGCGTCCACACATGTTCTCGCGAACTGAATCCAGTGGCCAGAAGGCTCCTTAACTGTAACCACCTTCATCAAAAGTTCACTATTCAGTGCTCTCGGCGCTGCATCGCGTCATTGGCCTCTTGGGTGTTCTCCCTGTCGCTCATCTCCATGTTTCCATCTTCATCATCACTGACGACCTCTTCCAAGAAGGTCATTCTTCCTGAAGTAGGGAGGTTCACCATCTTGTAGGTTGGCTCGAATCCGGTCTGGCGAGTTTCCTGCATATGTGGTCCTTGTTGCCACATCTTGTAGATCTCCTTCTCCAAGTAGTGCCAATCCAGCCATGCTATGGTCGCCTGGAATGGCATCACCTTCTTCGGGTAGGATATGAAACATCGCCTCTTCGACGTTTGCAAGCTCTTCCTCTGTGGTGTGTCCTTGTCCTCGTTGGCGTCGATCTCTCACCTCTTCAATGTCATTGTTTCCAGCTGCCTCCATGCTGTTGGCCGCTCTCTCGGTTGCTTCTCGCTCCAATCGTTGTAGCTTCTTGGTGCATCTGAAGTTTCTTCTGCATCCATCTCGTGTTCTGCAGTCATCAATTGCTTCTAGGATCTCTTTGCGCAAGATCTGCCGTCTGCCAGACATATCTCCATTCAACACCACACGTTGTGTCATCGCTGTCTCCAAGATCTGGTTGATGAGGCCTGCAAGTTCATGACCTGCATGTACCAGATGCGTCTCAACTCCTTCTCCATGCATCAGCATCTGCTGTCGGTACCATTCGAAAGTCTCCAAGTCATCCGGAATCATGTCATAGAGCTCGCCCTCGTTGTAGTGATTGCTGTTGTCTGCGATCATCTTGCCAATGAGTTTGCACGTTTCTTCAAGCATCATCCATTGTTGGTCATCTACATCATGAGCTCTGTTCTGAGTTTCGGCTCTGCGGTCTCCCTCTGAATCCATCAAAACCCTGCCATTCTCGAGCTCTCACTTGAGATCTCTGGAACTTTTTCTTCTTCTCCTTTTCAATCTTCTCCACCATGACCTGAGTGTCCATGGCCCATGTCAGCCATTCGTAGGTGTCAAACTTCTCCATGATCATGTTGTTGTACTCGTCGAACTTGTCCATGTAGACGTTCATCACCATGATGTCCAAGATGAGGTTCATCGTCTTCTGGTTCTGGCTCTGGTGCGTCATCTGGTCTCATCGCGCCGTGTGCCATTTGTCGGTTCTTCTTGGTCGCCATTTTGTCCGGCTTGTGCGAAAACAAAAGCCGTCCTTGTCCAGGTTGGCTTAATGTCTGCTCTGGACTGGGTTTTTCACCAAGAGGTTCTTCTTCTGGAACTTGTTCATAGTGGTCTTAGATCTTGTTCGTGGTGTTCTTGGTCGTGTGCTCCATCGTCATGATTTCTACTGCTGCTTCCTGCTCGCCTGAAAGAGGAAAGATGTTCAGTTGTCCCCTCTGGAACCTTGATGGATCAACATCTTGCCAAAATTTGCCATTGCTCAAACATTTAGTTTTTTAATGGAGGTCGCCATCCTAGTCGAACTGCGTCTCCAGGTGTCATCCTTGTTCGTTGTCTCCCCGGCCTGTCTGGAATCAAGCCTGAAGTGAGTGGTCCACTCTCCTGCGAAGTCGATGTCGAGGATGAAGAACTGTTGGGATCTCCTGGTCGTCGAAGGTGTTGAAGTCGTCGCATCAGCTCTTCAAAAACACTTTGAAAAAATGTCAGCTGAAATTGTTGTAGCCTGATCACATAGATGAAGTAAGCGATCAAAAGCGTCAGCGCTGCCGTCACCATGTTCTTCACCGTGATGGAGTCACACAATCTTCTGGAGTGATCTGGTGTCCAAAGTCTTCTCTATCTCCATGGTTCTATCTCCATGCCAGTTTGAAATCCGATTGGGATCAAAGCCATCAGCTTCTTTCTGCGTTCCTGTGAAAGTTTCTTCGGGTTCGAGTCTGACGGGTTGATTGCTGTTGGGACTCTACACAAAGGAATGATCTTCTCACGAACCAAATCTCGAATGCAGAGGTTGCGAAGGTGGGTGTGCTTCAGCTTTCCTTGTCCAGCCCTCTACATTATGCCACGGGCTGCTGAGCGGTCTGTCATCTGGATGTCTTCTCCACTCAGGAACTTCAAACTGCCGACGTGCAGTAGCTCTGCAACGCCACTACAACTAGCGTAGAGTTCTGATTCTGCAATTGATAGCGCTAATGAGCCTTGCAGATTGCATGAGGAAATCAATAGATTGCCGTTCATGAAAATCACGCATGAAGTCGTTGACTTTCTCGACACTTTGCATCCTGCCCTGTTAGCATCTGTGAATGCTTCCAGATTGAAAGGTTGTCGGTCTTGTCGATTGCTCCTTTCTAGGTAGTCCCAATGATAACTTGTGATCTGCTACATCTTGGTCTGCATTAGCAAAACTCCTGATTCTTGCGCGTCATTCAGTAGCTTGCTCGGTGTCGCGGTGCTGTGAAGGCTAATTTTGTTCCACCTGCTATGTAGGTTGAAAGTGTGGATGTCTGGTTGATCTTGCGCGATGTAGAGTGCTAGTTCAAGGCCGGAACTGAAAATCTGTTGTCCTTCGGCGTCAAGTCGTTCGTTGTCCTTGATCTCATCCTTGTTGTAGACTTCTAGGCTTGAATGATGTGGGAAGCTCTTTCCTTCCAATTCCAAGAGTTCAACCATCTTCTTGATGTAAGAAGGATTCGGTTGTATGACAATTCCCTGCCTTGCCAACATCACCTTCTTCTTCAAGTAGTACAATGTCTTGCCACTGAGTTCATCGTGAGATGTGTTCTCACCGTCGTGCTGACCCATGTCCAGTCATCTGGGTTGCAAGTCACCAAAACATCATCCACATGGATCATCATACATCCAAAAAATTCTTCACACGTTTGAAGACTGCTGGCGCGCCTTTGTAGCACCAATTCCTTGAGGCGCTCACTCCATCTGAGTGCTGCAGTTTCGTTGGCCTTCAGCAATTTCTGGGCCTTGAGCAGCGGGTTGTTGGTTGCGTTTTTTTCTCCAAGCACTTGGACCCACTGCGGCACAACCACTTCCACCAAATCTCGTTGTCGAACGCTGAGGAATGCGTCCTTGATGTCTGCCACACAGAGCTGCAAGTTTAAGATTGCTTCCAAGACAATGATCAACTTCATTGTGAAGCTCGTTTGGCGTTGGGCTAAATTGTGTTTTATCTGTGTTGGAAGTCCTGTGCTCCCTGGCAACAAGTCTGCATGCCTCTTCCACCTGCCACGACATCTCGAGTCGAAAACACATGTAGTGTCAAGGATCAATTCGTCTTCCTAACCTCTGCAACGGCCACCACTTCCAACTTTTGCAGTCTCTCAATCTCTTCAACTATTGCTTCTTCTTGATCTAGGACATTTCATCGCTCACTGTTGGAGATCCATCACGTTCTTCTCTGTCGATGAGCTCTCGGAGTTGTCAATCTCGATGTCAAGCTCTGGATGTGACTCTTCACTCTTCAAATCTTCAAGTAGATCAATCTGGAAACGTTTTCGTGCACGTTTCGTCCGTGTTCGTCTGGGTCACCGCTTCGTTATCTTCCGGACAGTGGAGAGCTCAACGGAATTGCGATCTTGGAACGAAGGCCGGTTGGGAAGAAGCTGTTAGGTCTTGCAAGTGCGTTTGTGAGCACGCAAGCATGAGGATGTTGTTTGGTCTGAACCGATGCAATGAAGGTTGGCCTGCGGCACGGTAAGAGCTGCAGTTACAGCTTTTTGGAACTGGCAATGCAAATATCCTGCTGAGCTTCTTCGTTGATGAGGATGTCACATCTTCCATGTGCGCATTGAGCGGGGAGTGAGATTGTCCTTTCTGTTCCCACACCAGGCCCGTGGTGGAGATGACTACTTCAGCTCTTGGGATGACATGGACACTATCGTGAGCAACAAGTTCGCAGGCAGTTCTGGCTGTATTGGCCTCTGCTTCTTCGCGTCCCACAGGGCGCGCAAAATGCTGTTTGCGCGCATCTTCCAGAGCAAAGGAAGTGAGGAGCTTGGTGATGTCTTGCCAGCACCGAACACACCCGCAACTGCGATCGTTGACCTGCCAGTGAGAAGCGCCATGGTCCACCCCAACGCCAGCGAGAGAACATGTCCATTCTGTCCGGGCTGCTGTGCAGCGGCTTGGGGACAATGCCTAAGGCTGTCGCCCGTCGCCAAAAGTCCAAACATCGAATGGAGTACGAATAATAGCTCGCAAACTGGTGCGGAATGGGGACATGTGACGGGATCCCAAGAGCCGTTGTTTTGTAGTCTGGCGGCATCGTTGCCATCTGTAATAACTGCGGACCTCGTAGGTACGCGCGGCACGGTGGAGGAGCCCTCGTCGAAATGAGAAGCGCCCGTACCCAGCCGGCACCAAGTAAGTTTCTCCATGCGCACTGCCTCATCCGTCTTGGGC